GGTGTGATTGATCAGCAGAGGGCTGGACAAAGAATGTAGTTGAGCTTGGGTTGTGATTGATCACTGAGGCCTGGACTTAGAATGATGGGATAAAAACAAACACACACCTCTGTTGAATAGAGTTCAACAGAAACAAAACTTGAAATAGACTTATTTACAAAAAGACTAAAATACAAATATATACACCTGCTTCACTTATATCTAGTGTATTGTAGTACGTCGTGGATTGCAAACATCCGCTTATTGAACAATACATTATTAAATACAATGTACGATATTGACGCTTTACCATCTTCGCACCGTTACTCTTCCTCGCGTCAGCAACGCCTGTTCAGTAATACTGTAGGTACGTTTCGCGCACGTAAAAAAACATACGCATTATATTTTTTTCTGTGTTAAACGCTTGGGATGAAAGAGAATTCATACCTTCTCTTCTCTGACAATGTTATTAACATACAGTGGTTAGCATGACACGGTAAGATTACCGCAATGTATGGGAGACAAGGAGATTTATACTTTCCACGTCTGACAATGTTATTAACATACCGCACTTAGCATGACACGGTAAGATTACCACAATGCATGGGAGACAAGGAGATGCATACCTTCCCACGTCTGACAATGTTATAAACATACCGTGATCAGCATGACACGGTAAGATTACCACAATGTATGGGAGACAAGGAGATTTATACCTTCCCACGTCGGACAATGTTATAAACAAACTGCGGTTTGCATGACACGGTAAGATTACCACAATGTATGGGAGACAAGGAGATTTATACTTTCAACGTCTGACAATGTTATTAACATACCGCACTTAGCATGACACGGTAAGATTACCACAATGCATGGGAGACAAGGAGATTTATACCTTCCCACGTCGGACAATGTTATAAACAAACTGCGGTTTGCATGACACGGTAAGATTACCACAATGTATGGGAGACAAGGAGATTTATACTTTCAACGTCTGACAATGTTATTAACATACCGCACTTAGCATGACACGGTAAGATTACCACAATGCATGGGAGACAAGGAGATTTATACCTTCCCACGTCGGACAATGTTATAAACAAACTGCGGTTTGCATGACACGGTAAGATTACCACAATGTATGGGAGACAAGGAGATTTATACTTTCAACGTCTGACAATGTTATTAACATACCGCACTTAGCATGACACGGTAAGATTACCACAATGCATGGGAGACAAGGAGATTTATACCTTCCCACGTCGGACAATGTTATAAACAAACTGCGGTTTGCATGACACGGTAAGATTACCACAATGTATGGGAGACAAGGAGATTTATACTTTCAACGTCTGACAATGTTATTAACATACCGCACTTAGCATGACACGGTAAGATTACCACAATGCATGGGAGACAAGGAGATTTATACCTTCCCACGTCTGACAATGTTATAAACATACCGTGATCAGCATGACACGGTAAGATTACCACAATGTATGGGAGACAAGGCGATTCATACCCTCCCCATGTCTGACATTGTTACTAACATACAGAGGTTAGCATGTCAATATAATGTACGTTTCACACTTACAATTATTGCTCTGTATTTTGTAATCCCCCTGTTTTCCTGACTCTCCACATCGGGTATACAACCGTCTAGGTACTCACCTTAGACTCAGGCTAAATGCAAATCTGAAAATGAAACCCAGGATCGGTAAGAACCGGAGTGAAATCAATATATTAGTTTCATGCGACACAGCTCGAATTACGGCTGACCTTTTGGCTACAGGACGTCATCTACAGCGTTTTACAATACACTTCGATATTCAGCTCATAAATAGTACAATGATATCATATACTTGTAAATGATATGTGTATGAACAGAAGAAAGGTTTATGAACCGGCGTGTATTAAAACATTGCTGTAAAGATCCTTGGTACACTTTTGTGGATATGTGCATTTAAAAATCGATTTGAGGAATGTGTGACAAAGTGTCTGTCTCCTGTAATTAATAATTTAGTGGCAGAAATTTCATGTATCAGTGGAGATTTCGAAAGATAACCATATACAGATACACATTCAGTAAAAGTCTGTGAATGGTGGATTTCTGATTAGATACGAGCCCTAAGACCAGGGCCCCGTTCTGCGCAGCGACCTTAATGGTACGACGCTCATTAATCTATGATAAAGTATGGGAGCTACGACAGTCATAAAACTTGGATTGCATTGTGGAATGGTCAGGAAGTTCTATTCAGCTTGTTTCGAGGATTCGCAAACCTCACTCAACTAAATATTGAAATAATATCTTTTGCCTTCTCCTTCCGTCAGTATTACTAGTTTAATTACTGAAAACAATAGTCAAATTAGCTTTAATTTTGTATAAACCGCCCGAAAATACGATAAACTTTACTTTACATATTCTTTTTGTGCTTTTATTTCGGCCACGGACTGAAAGAAAAATTAGGTAAACTAAGTAACGGAACAGCAGGCTTTCTTTCCTATTTTAATAAACGCGGTCTCAAACGCATTTTAACAATCCGGATAACAACAGTGTGTTATGTTGTAAGATGAGAGGCGAGGTGAAATTGGGTTTAACGTCGGGTCCAAGATCATTGCACTTATATAGCGACGTGCATGTACGTGTGTGTGTTTGTGTGGCTGCTTGTGCTAGTCCGGACTGATGCCGAGTTATAGTGCCAGCTCACTGTGATACCATGCCGCAGTTAAACATGTATACCACACGCAGACACAGTTTACTGACTCCGATCCGACCAGTCCTTGTTGTAGCCCCAAAAGGCCGAGCGCAAGACAGGGTAACAATAAGTGCCATCTTTTAACGTCTTTTGGTATGAAGCGGTCGGGGATCGAACAATGGACCTTCCGTTTTCCGGGCGGACGCTCTACCACTAGACCACGGGGGCGGTCGGTAACATGTTAATGGTTGATCAGAATGTGTACTGTATTGTTAGAATATGTTGATCACAAGGGTTGATTAAAATGTGTCATCTCGTCATATTAGAAACAGCTGATTACAATGTGTAATCTCGTCATATTAGAAACGGTTGATTACAATGTGTCATCTCGTCATATAAGAAAGGGTTGATTAAAATGTGTCATCTCGTCATATTAGAAACGGTTGATTACAATGTGTAATCTCGTCATATTAGAAACGGTTGATTACAATGTGTAATCTCGTCATAGTAGAAACGGTTTATTACAATGTGTGATCTTGTAAAATGAGAATTTGTTTATCACAATGTGTAATCTTGTAATCTGATAATTGGTTGACCGCAATGTGTAATATTACCGTAATGTGAGAATTGGTTGATCACATTGTGTACACATCTTGTAATGTGGGAATTGGTTGACCGCAATGTGTAATATTACTATAATGTGAGAATTGGTTTATCACATTGTGTACACGTCTTGTAATGTGGGAATTGGTTGACCGCAATGTGTAATATTACTGTAATGTGAGAATTGGTTGATCACATTGTGTACACATTATATAATGTGAGAATTGGTTGATCACATTGTGTAATCTCGTAATATGATAATTGGTTGGTCACAATGTGTAATCTCGTAATATGATAATTGGTTGACCGCAATGTGTAATATTACTGTAATGTGAGAATTGGTTGATCACATTTTGTACACGACTTGTAATGTGGGAATTTGTTGACCGCAATGTGTAATATTACTATAATGTGAGAATTGGTTTATCACATTGTGTACACGTCTTGTAATGTGGGAATTGGTTGACCGCAATGTGTAATATTACTGTAATGTGAGAATTGGTTGATCACATTGTGTACACATTATATAATGTGAGAATTGGTTGATCACATTGTGTAATCTCGTAATATGATAATTGGTTGGTCACAATGTGTAATCTCGTAATATGATAATTGGTTGACCGCAATGTGTAATATTACTGTAATGTGAGAATTGGTTGATCACATTGTGTACACGTCTTGTAATGTGGGAATTGGTTGACCACAATGTGTAATATTACTGTAATATGAGATATTGGTTGACCGCAATGTGAACACTTTTAGTAATGTGAGAATTAGTTGATCACAACGTGTAATGTATTGTTAAAAGAAGTTGATCACAATGTGTATTCTCGTCATATTAGAAACGGTTGATTACAAAGTGTAATCTTGTAATGAGACTTGGTTGATCATAATGTGCAATCTTGCCAGGCCATGTGGATCAATGCTCATCCTACATAACCCACTGGTATGCCTGGCCAAAACCCAACATTTTACAGGCTGTAATGGTGCAGTTGAAGTCACTGAAACAACATTCAGTCACTTTATTTGATCAACATCTCACTCATTCCTCACGACCCATGAGGATCCGGGGTAGAATTGGTTTTCAGGAACCCATGCTTGCAATAAATGGCGACTATGCTTGCCGTAAATGGTGACTAACGGGATCGGGTGGTCAGGCTCGCCAACTTGGTTGATGCATGTCATTGTATCCCAATTGCGTGGATCAATGCTCATGATATCAATCACTGGACTGTCTGTCCAGACCCAATTATTTACAGACCGCCTTCATAAAGCTGGAATATTGCTTAGTGCGACGTTAAACAACACACAAACATTCCTTACTCAATTCTCTGCACTTGTACACAACAGACATAATTCTCAATTATCAAATGTTTATCATGTCACTAGATATTATGGTTCGTCGCTTGATCATCTGGTTTGTTTACAGGATGCTGTCGCATTGCAGGAGTACAGCTTCGTGCCCTCAGGCAACAAACACCTTTTCGTGCAAATTGTGCAAATGGTGGATGCTTCCGTTGAGCTCGACATGCTTACACTTTTTGTGAACACCTGGTGTCATCACTTTTCGGTGGTCCATTGGTGTAATTTACACTACTATTTCGCGTTTTATGCCCAGATGAATCTGTTTCGGAAGACAATCGAGACTGTTCTCTTGCGTCGATGTTTTGTATTTACCTCACCTCTTACATTATTATACTAAGTATAAAATCAAAAATGAAGGAAATTTGAAATATTCCTGTTTATTCAATACATACATTCATGGCACAAATATTGAAACACAAGATATCACAAGCAATAAAATCCATAATGACCAGGGTGAAAAACTAGTCATATGTACTACTCAAAAGAAGTTAAAGAACACCTGATTTTTTTCAGACAAAATAAAATCTGTCACGGCAGGTGGCTATGCCAACACACAGCTTTCCAATCATGGGTGTTCTTTAACTTGTATTACGTAGTACATAAAACCTTCTACAACAGAACTCAGTATTATTACACATTGGTAACTTAACACCTGTGTTCTCCTTGCACCAGTTCTGTAAATGACCAACCCCTCAACATTTAGAAGGGGGGCCTGGGATATTTATTGGAGACAATATTTTTTCAGTGCGTGCTTAAAGACATAGTCCTTTTTTTATGAAAGGAGGAGCCATACAATCTTTTTGTACCCACAACACATTAAATTGACCACGTGATCATGATAGTCGCCTTTTATGACAAGCACGATTTGCTGAAGACCAATTCTAACCTGGATCTTCACGGGTTTTTGTTTGTAAAACTGAGGGCACATTTTTCATGCATTTTCAGGAACAGACTTCATTTCAAACCAATCCCAGAACCTACCAGAATATCATATGGTGAGGCCTAAACTTCACCTAAAGCTCACTTTTTGCAAACACCTGGTATCATCACTATTTGATAGTGATTCATAAACACATGCTTCCCTATTATACTTGTAATACATGTCCCCAATGTGTTTTTAGGTGATCACTTGACTTGCCGCTGCATGTGTTTGGGATGGGTGCCACTGGCGGGGCACCTGGTATCATCACTATTTGATAGTGATTCATAAACACATGCTTCCCTATCATACTTGTATTACATGTTCCCGTGTCTTTTTAGGTGAACACTTGACTTGCCTCTGCATGTGTTTGGGATAGGTGCCACTGCCTCTACTGTTAGTAGAGATTTCTTATGATTATGCAAATGCTTTTGTCAGTTTTCAAAGTGAAAATAGTGAACATTGCTTGAACTCTTCTTGTCAGAATACCAAACTGTATTCAATGAAACCATTGGTTTCACTCAGTTTTTACAAGTTGGTTCAGCAGTAGTATGGACATGATGTAGGTGGGATTTCATGAGGTAACGCATTTAGGGATTAAACATTGACACTATACACATAATATCCTAATGGATGGAAAATATCATTTTGAAAAATATTTTGGCATATTTTCTCTAAAAGTATTAAAAGCCTGAGCATATTGTACATTGACCACTCTTCCGAGACTTTGCATTTAAGGATGTGGTGCAATACAGTGCATTATGTGTTTTCCTTGAGTGAGTGAGTTGGTTTTAACGCCACTTTAACAGTATTCCAGTTATATCAAACACGGTGTGTCAGCTTAATGTGAGAGGAAAGTGATGCAGGTCTCAGACGTTTACCACTTTGGTGAAACCCATGAGCACGGGCAGGGTGCTGACAAACCTGAAAACGTAATCTGGATGAACCGGAATTCAACCTACAATCAAACTTTTCTGGCGTGCCAAAAAGATGCAATTATGCACAGCGAATTGTGGCGCCATAGAGACATGGACACCTGTAACCCGTTTTCTTTAAAACAAACATTGAAACATCAAAGAAATATTTGATATAAACTTGAACTCCAAATCTTCCCTACTAATATTCATCTTCAGCAAAAATATACAGCATTGGTTTCTCGGGAATTAATCTAAATATCAAACAAGGGACAGAGAGCCCTTTCTGCATGTTGCATTAATGGGTATATGGTGTCACAATCATAACTTATGGGTCAAAAATAGAGAAAATCACTCTCAAGTTAGTTATTCTCAACTGATGAAGCAACATCCATAAAACTTAAAGTAAATATTACAAAAACACTTCAGTTTTTATGTTTAAAACTGAATATTTGATTAAGTTTGATTCCAAATATTTGAATACACTTAAGTTTGCAAGGTAATCTGGCATTGTTATTGCATGTTTGCTAACATCCATAAGCTAACACGACAACATATAGGTCTAAATACAAGGATTTCTTGTGATCTGTCATAATCCTATTACACATTATTGGAGTGAGTGAGTGAGTTGGGTTTAACGCCGCTTTTAACAGTATTCCAGTTATATCATGGCGTGTCAGCTTAATGTGGGAGGAAAGCCCGAAGTGGTGCAGGTCTCTGATGTTTACCACTTCGGTGAAACCCACGAGCCAGGTATGGTGCTGACAAACCTAGAAACACAATTGGGGCGAACCAGGACTCGAAACCACAATCATAGGTTTCTGGCTAGCCCAAGGGACGCAACTCTGCACAGCAAATCGCGGTGCCTTAGACGACTGGGCCACCTGTGACCCCACACATTATTGGAGAATGGCACAAGATGGATCATATCAAACAGTAGTTTAAATGACTCTTTCAGATCATTATAAACAACATGGAATAAAAATAAACGTACATATAAAAAGTGCAATCTATAGTGGAGCATCTTACATAACAATACTGATATCCTATAGTGATAACCTTATCTACCTGAAAATTCTTTAGGCCATATGGATCATGAGATTTTCATTCACATGTCTACTGTCCGATTTCAAGATCCATGCCTCAACTTATTTATGCAACAATTACAATCACTTATTATAACTTTTGGTCACTGCAAGATGGTAGTCTTGCAATTATAATTAAAAACATGATCATATTTCATTTCCAAGTCATTTTGGGAGTTCATTAGGATAAAAGTCTTGGCCTCATGTCTTCTAGAGTGAGTATGGTTTTACGCCGCTTTTAGCAATATTCCAGCACTACCACGGCGGGGGACACCAGAAATGGGCTCCACACATTGTACCCATGTCGGGAATCGAACCCGGGTCTTTGGTCTTGTAGAACATACATGAGTATAATAACATCCAAATATGTATTAAACAATAACAGGTACTGATATTACATTTCTGAAAACAGTTTTACTCAATGACTAAATTGTTTCCATATAAATGCTGAATTGGTCTTGCAGATTTCATTTATTTAAACAAAGAACCGTTTAATCAGATCTGATGACCAATAAGTTCAATAATTGCACAACTGTAAGGCTAAAAAAAATAATAGTCTTGGTTCTCAGGCACTGACCACATCATCATAAAGATCATTGCATGGTTCTTTTCATTTCCTTTTTCAAATTTTTTGGCATTGTCTTTAAGTATCAGGATTTTTTGATTTTTTTGAAAATGGAAATAAAACAAAACTTGCGGCAGACTTTTTCATGATAATGCGGGTGGTGCCTGTGAACCAAGACTATTATTTTTTTTAGCCTAAGCAAACAATGATTCATAAAACAGTGCAATATCATACTGGGAGAGATACTATTGCTTTAATATCAGGACAAGGGTTCCATGGCGTCCCTGCCAGCATGGGTCTAAACCCATGACCAGAACATTCTGTAAGCAACGCCATGCAATCAAAACGCACACTTTCAAACTGTGAAAATGACAACAAAAGGGTTGTCATCATCGAATCTAACATCTTCCTGAGGCAAGTGAGTTAACTGACTATAAACGTCCAGTTTCCACCCTTGCCAAACTAGGCTGGTATTATGGAGTTACAATTTGGCTGGATTAACTAGTCTATGCATAGTCCAATCAAAATCGTGCAACTTAATTGAAATCCGGTTCGTAAACTGTCATGCAGATTTCGGTCAATTGCAGGATTTGCAAAGCATGTGCACTGCCATCTCGTTGTCAACAGATATTTTCAAAATCTTTTCATGTTTTTAATCAAGGTGCTCACGTGATTTGATGCATTTCATGATGTAAGACCCGTTTTATCACAATGTAGATCTTGATTATCGATCAGATCGTCCTTACTTGGCGCCACCATTTTGTTTGAAGCAAATGCGAGTGACACGAGAGGTGGAATCTGATTGGTCCATAGGAGAGGCTTAGAAGGGACATAACTGGTAATTGCCACTGGTGGCGCTACAATCGAGCTAGGAATTCGAGCCAAGTTCGGCAAGGGTGGAAACTGGACTTTTAAAGTCAGTTAACTCTCTTGCCTCGGGAAGATGCGAATCTAAATGCTTAAGAAATTGTCCCCTTTCTTTGATTCAAACATGGTCTTCTGATTAGCAATGAACATTTTAAGTTATCTTACTTCACATCACATCACTGTGCCTGGTAAGTTTCAAACAACATCAACTGGGTGTATAATTTTAACTGCAGCAGCTTCCTAGGGTGAGTGTGATCACAAGATTACTTCAAGGGTCCAACACAGACACAAGACAGGTGACGAACTGTGTCATGGACTCAAGGATATTAACAAAACAGGTCCTTTAATCAAGTCAGAAATCTCTTGTCATCCTTCAAAAGGATTTTAGATGGATGTCATATGGATGCATCTGGATTCATCTGCTATATGGCTCAGCGATATGATGGTGGTCTGTATTTAACCGAGTCTGGACCAGACAATCCAGAGTCACTGACATCATGATTCATATGGATTCATCTGCTATATGGCTCATAAGATTCTGATACTAAAATTTGTTGTTTAATACCGGACTCAGTAATATTTCAGCTATATGATGGTGGTCTGTATTTAATGGAGTCTGGACCAGACAATTCAGTCATTGACATCATGAGCATCGATCTGTCCTCTAATGACAGGCATCAACCATGTCAGCTAGCCTGACCACGTGATCATGATAGTCGCCTTTTATGACAAGCACGGCTTGCTGAAGACCAATTCTAACCTGGATCTTCACGCGTTATTGTTTGTAAAACTGAGGGCACATTTTTCATGCTATTTCAGAACAGACTTTGTTTAAAAATCGATACCGTTAGTCCCCTCTTACGAGTATAATTGCCTCTTATTAGTTGCTAATCATTAAGACGTCTTCCTTTTTATCAGCCCATTTAAGAGCGAAAAACATTTCATCTCCAAAACGCCATAACATTAGTCAAAATAATAATAACATGAACCGTGAAAATATTCATTCCAATTTGGGAATTTTTACTGACTTTGGATTCAGATTGGGGACGAATATGGATCTCTGAGCAGGCATATATATATATATATTCCTGAAAACTGCTTGTCCAGCATAAATCAACACGTTTCTGTATCATCAGAGCACTGTAATATAATACCAGGCATGTCCTAACAATATATTATAAATTTTCTGTCAATCAACAAGAAATGTATGAATAAGCCATCCGATTCCCCAAGGACATCTGAAATAACATGGGTCAATAAATTCTCGCAAAGCAGCCTGAGAAAAATCACCAGCTGAAATAAAGACATACCTTAAAAGCAGCCTTATTTTTTGGACTGCTACAAAGAGGTGTAGTGAACCATGCTCCAGCGTATCATCCTCACATCCCAGATCTGAGACTTATCCACATCAGCAACCATGCATCTCCATCTCTCAACTCACCACACAAACTATTTACATCTACCGTACACAATCTCACATCCCACTCTCAAACAGAAAATAATTTCAAACTCCCTTCCGTCAAATCCGTTCATAAAACAGCATATAAGCCTCCGAACCCAACACCTGTTCCCTCGATGCCCTCTGGACATTTGCGTCGGATGTATATAACCATTTATCACTGCTTTTGCCCGCCTGTCCTGACAACGGACTGCGTCTATATGTGACAAAATGTCCTGACACCTCGTCTCCGAGATGTGCGACAACACTGGAGAGTCTGTAGGTGAACTCGGTCTGTTTGGGTAGGTCTGGTCCGTTGTGGTTGACGTCTCCGTGGGTGTTAGGTAGACTTAATGGACACGGTGGTTGCAGGAACAGCCCGTTCTTTGTCGTGTGACTGTCGTAGTTGAGAGCACGTAATAAATTGACGGGAGCTGATTGCGAAACGAAACGTCCATTATTGCTACCAAACCTGAAAGGAACAAGAACATTGATATTATTAAGCATTAAGTACGTCAACATTTGTTCCTCATGACTTATTAGATTAAACCTTAAAAGATAATACATGCTCCACAACGAAGCCTGGAACATGCGCTCGCAACTTAATGACTTTGTAAATTGGACAACGTTATTATTGAGTGGGAAGTGTCTTGTGAGTGAGTGAGTGAGTTGGGTTTAACGCCGCTTTTAACATTATTCCAGTTATATCGCAGCGTGTCAGCTTAATGTTGGAGGAAAAACCGAAGTGATGCAGGTCTCAGACGTTTACCACTTCGGTGAAACCCACGAGCACGGGTATGGTGCTGACAAACCTAGAAACATAATCTGGGTGAACCGGTATTCGAACCCACAATCATAGGTTTCTGGCGTGTCCAGGGGACGCAACTCTGCACAGCGAATCGCGGCGCCTTAGACGACTCGTGCCCCCAAGTGTCTTGTGAGTTGTTCCCCATAGATATAGCTGGACACCGCAGATTAATGCAAAGGCCACACAATCACACCCAAATGTGGGAGCAATACGACAATCGGTATTGGGAGAAAACATGCATATAATCGATGTGAAAATTGTGAGAATTCCAATCTTAACCCCCTTGTACCCAATATGGAGTTGTCCGACATTCCCGAGGTCGGATTGTACTCGGGGAGTCACGATTATTTAAATACAAGTAAATATTTCTAAAGCGTGTACAATTTACTGACATCCGCAAAGAGGCTGTACAATGTAGATATCTCATATAAGAAATAACGGCTTGTGATCGTTGTTTATCGTACAATAAAACACTGCAGAAGAATAAACCACTCGGGGCTGCGTTCCTCATGGTTTATTCTCCCTGTGTTTTATTGTACGATAAACAATGCCCACTCGTCATTTATTTCTTAAATAAAGCACATTTTAGTTAAACTCTCAGACACAATATGGCAAAAATTAATTAAGTGGAGTAAAATTGAACACAGTTTTAAGTGACTAGTGCGTTCAACTCGTACCACGTATGAGTCTCATCAGCCCGGGGATCAATCAGCTATGGCCTGATGATTCTCGTAGGGGGTACCGATTAAAACTGTGTTCAATTTTACTCCACTTATTAATTTTGTCTATTTTTACTAGTCCAGACTTATGCCAGTTTCATTGTACTAGCTAACTGAGGTGAAATGGGGTTTTACGACTTTCAAGATCATAGCACTTGTGTGTATAGTGTCTGCCTGTACTAGTCCAAAGTAATGCCGATTTTATAGTTCTAGCCAACAGAGCCAGGATACATCAAAGTCCAGTTTCCACCCTTGCAGAACCAGGCTGGGATTATAGAGTTATATTTTTGCTGGAATAACGAGTCTATGCATAGTCCAATCAAAATCGCGATACAAAATCGACATCCGGTCCGTAAACAACCTGGATTTCAACGTGCAGATTTCGGTCGACTGCAGGATTTGCAAAGGATGTGTACCGTCAACTGGGCATCGACAAATATTTTCCAAATCTTTTCATGTGTTTGATCAAGGTGCTCACATGATTTGATGCACTTTGTGAGGTAAGGCACGTTTTTATTACAATATAGATCTTGATCATCGATCAGATCATCTTGACTGGGCGCTGCCATTTTGTTTGAAGAAAATGCAACTGATTTGAGAGATGGAATCTCATTGGTCAATAGTAGGGGCATAACAGGGACATAACTCATAATCGCCACTGTTTACGCTACGACCGAGCCCAGAAATTCCAGCCTAATTCGGCAAGGTTGGAAACTGGACTTTAATAGTCAGTTAACTCCTTTGCCTTGGGACGATGTCCCAAGGCAGACGCTCTACCCACTAGACCACAGAGGCCTCCACAGAATATCTGAACATCAAAATACCTTAGGAGGTCAAGGGTTGCGTCCTTTCCACCGAATAGTCCATTCTTATTGTCACTGTCCTTCCTGTTGCCCTTCATGTAGACATAGCTGTCCATGTGAAGAACTTCCGGGAAGGAGATGAAGTCGTAGCGCTTGACCGGCAGGCTGTTGTTGAGCCACTGTGTGCGCTGGATGTGGATACACAGACATTGGGGCACCTGAAACATCACGCAGGAATAGGAAGGCCAGGCTTCAAAATTGCCAGGTGAGGTGAGGTGAAATGGGGTTTAACGTCGCGTCCAAGATTATTGCACTTATATAGCGACGTGCATGTACGTGTGTGTGTGTGTGTGTGGCTGCTTGTACTAGTCCGGAGTGATGCTGATTTATAGTGCTAGCACACTGAGATACCATGCCGCAGTTTAACATGAATACCCCACTCAGACACAGTATACTGACTCCGAGCCGACCAGACCTTGTTTTAGCTCCTTAATGCCGAGCGCCAGACAGGGTAACAACATGTACCATCTTTTAACGTCTTTTGGTAAAACGCGGCCGGGGATTGAACCCCGGACCTTCCGCTCTCTGGGCGGACGCTCTACCACTAGACCACGGAGGCAGTCTCAAAATTGCGACCTAAATTTCAATTTGTCTACTGTCAATTGCGTGGATCAATGCTCATGATATTAATCACTGGATTGTCTGGTCAAGACTCAATTATTTTACAGACCGCCGTCAAATAGCTGGAATATTGCTGAGTGCAGCGTTAACCAACAAACAAACAACAAACAAACAAACCTATTTTATCCCAAATTTGAATTCTGGAAAATTCTTAGTTTTCTATATACTGTACCTTGGTATACCATTATGACAATGATATGAATAACAAATTTAAACTAAGTACATTATTAAAACAGACGTCTCAAACAGAGTTTCAAAAACTTGTATGTTCTAGTCTTTAGAGCAGACTGGAATATAATGTGCACCCGCATTTCTTGTGTACAAGTTTCAGGAAAAATTGCTATCTTGTATAGATCTAGTATGTCATCAACAACTTCATCGTATCGCTTGTTATAACTACGGAAAAAAACCAGGCGATGTTACGAAAGCGCGATTATGAAATGAATGACCGCCGTGTTGTGACAGCAACTACATGTGTGTGACAGTGTCGCCTCAAATTGGATTGCCCACTAATTAAGAATATAAACTTCGCTTGTGGTTCTCTTTTATTGCATGCATGCGCTTCTAAGATCAAAGGATGTATAGTGTGAAAAGTTAACTAGTTGAACAATCGTATTTCCGGGACTTGCCGCGGATGTTTTCAAACAGATTATTAGAACTCCATTCAGCGATAAACGGTTGATTATGCAATGAGAAGCGTTATGTGCAAATGAACAACATACAACAATACAATTATGTCTGTGTAAAACTCTCAGTAATAAAAGTGTACATAAATTTTGGGAGCCATGCGTTACCGCGCGTAGTAACCGAGGTAGCGCTTTATCGAAGAGCACAATAGCGAGGGATCACTGTAGGAGATAACAAACTTGGTCAATGAAAAAGTGAACTTTGCACCAAAACATCACCAGACAAGATGATTTACAATTTCAGTTGTATTTACTGTAATTCCAATTCAGGGATTGAACAGCTGTTTATGCAACCCTGGTGCCCAATATCAACCTCTGAGAAAATTAATGTCTCAAAGTCCACTGAAAGTTGAAAAATGAATAGATGCAAGTAAAATTCTCATCTCTTCGTACCCCTCTCCTCCCAGCAACAAAAGTGAGCAAGTGTGGTTTTTCGCCATTTTTAGCAATATTCCAGCAATGTCACAGCGGGGGGCACCAGAAATGGGCTTCACATGTTGTGCCCATGTAGGGAATCAAACCTGGGTCTTCAGCGTGACGAGCAAACGCTTTAGCCATTAGGCTACCCGACCGCCCCCATGTCAACAAACTCATGGCAGCCATGTTAAATTCTACAACATTTTTACCTTTCCTATAGTCAATTTCTTCTTAAAACATGATTTCGGGGACATGGAAGGATCTTTGGTGCCGGCTAGTTTGGCACATCCTGGACACTGGACGTCCTTGACCATCTCGGGACAGATGTAATGATGAAGTAGCATGTCCAGACTAAGTGGGCCCTGTAAGACAAACAGACAAAGTACCTACAGTAGAGTGAGTGAGTGAGTGAGTGAGTTGTGTTTAACGCCGCTTTTAACAGTATTCCAGTTATATCACGGTGTGTCAACTTAATGTGGGAGGAAAGCCCGAAGTGATGCTGGTCTCAGACGTTTACCACTTCAGTGAAACCCACGAGCACGGTATGGTGCTGACAAAAATAGAAACATAATTGGGGCGATTGTTTCAAATGACATAGTCAGTTGCCGCCAGATTCCAACATTAATTCTCTGAGAACGGAAGGCACAGTTGAAAAAATGATAGTTAGAAATGAACCCTAAGACATGAAAGTTGTGGAACCGAGGCGAGCGCGAAAAAACAGTCGAGGGAGCCTGCACGTTTGCTGTTTCATTCCTTCTCGGCCTTCGGTCCCAAAGAGTTGTTTGGACAATGAATATGCCCGAATTTCGCTAAATGTCCTGTGCATGACGATATATACAAGTGAGCAGAGAGGGAATTCCCTCGACTGTAATTTAGGATTCCCCGACATTCAGTAGTAATAAAAGTAGTCCGCTTCTGCATCTCAACTCACCCAGAAGTTGGCTGGTATGCTGAGAGACAGACTATTGAAGAGGTCATACTTGACGGGGCATCGATGGCCACAATCTCTGCACTGCAGCTGACTGGCCAGGAGCCCGCGGAAGGGATGTTCCATTTTCTGGTGAGGGAGAACAGGTAGGAGGCCCCGGCTACGGGTCATGGCAAGTCCCTGGGGTTGGTATTTATTGCAAGGGTTCTGAAAAAGATATTTTGACAACACATTTTAGACAAGAAAACAGTGTTATCACTATCCCAGATTCCCTTGCAATGGGAAACATTAGAATTTGGTTGGTTCACACAGTAGTGAATAACATGGAAGTTAATGTTAACTATTAAAAAATGAGGAGTCCTTCAAAGCTTTACTGCGGCTTATGTCAGGAAAACTTCTCTCAGGTAGGTATGCAAAGTTTCATTCCTGTAACCATGGTAACTTGGGTAGTTTCTTAGTTACCTTGTCCCTATTGCAGCCACAATACATTAAGTAAAGTAACAGTATGCACAAAATCCTTAACATGATGCAAGGGGAGTAACTCTGGAAAATAATTTGCTCACTCAGTCTTGACAGGTATCTTTGAGAAAAGCATGCAAACTTTCATTTATGTAACTTAAGTAGTTTCTGAAATAACTTGTCCCCATATCACGTAGTAAACACCAAGTTGACAAGCATGGTGCAAAAAGCCATGACTCTGTAGAAATGAATTTATGATTTTTTGAGATCCTGACAAGTGAGATTGGTGTAAAATTTCATTTCTCTTCTGGAAATGAGTCCACATTGAGAAGTGGACAGATGGACGCAGAACTCTGTCTTCTGACCTGAATGGCCTGTACATCAAAGAGAGACACAACCCTGACCTGAGTGGCCTGTACATCAAAGAGAGACACAGCCCTGACCTGAATGGCCTGTACATCAAAGAGAGACACAACCCTGACCTGAATGGCCTGTACATCAAAGAGAGACACAACCCTGACCTGAGTGGCCTGTACATCAAAGAGAGACACAGCCCTGACCTGAATGGCCTGTACATCAAAGAGAGACACAACCCTGACCTGAATGGCCTGTACATCAAAGAGAGACACAACCCTGACCTGAATGGCCTGTACATCAAAGAGAGACACAACCCTGACCTGAATGGCCTGTACATCAAAGAGAGACACAGCCCTGACCTGAATGGCCTGTACATCAAAGAGAGACACAGCCCTGACCTGAATGGCCTGTACATCAAAGAGAGACACAACCCTGATCTGAATGGCCTGTACATCAGAGAAAGACACAACCCTGACCTGAATGGCCTGTACATCAAAGAGAGACACAACCCTGATCTGAATGGCCTGTACATCGGAGAGTGACACTACACTGACCTGAATGGCCTGTACATCAAAGAGAGACACAACTCTGGGGTACTGGGATGTCTCTTCATCCAGCGTCTCCGTCAACACCTGGAACAGCTCGTGGGCATCCTGGTGAAGAAGACAGGCATGTAAAATGCATTATCGTATCATGTTACTGTAATCTTTGTTCGTTTGTTCATTTGTTGTTTAAGGCCGCACTCAGCCAAATTCCAGCTATATGACAGCTGTCTGTAAATAATCGGGTCTGAACCAGACAATCCAGAGATTGACATCTTGAGCACCGATCCAGGCATCAACCAAATCAGCGAGCCTGACCACCCGATCCCGTTAGTCGCCTCTTATGACAGGCATAGTTGCCTTTTTCAGCAAAAATGGGGTGATGAAGACCTATTGTATCCCGGATCTTCACGGGTCATTACTGTAATCACTGACAACAAATCGAAACATATTAACCATATCGGTGACAATGTGGGTGAGTGAAGGAATGTTGTTTAAGACTGCAGCAATAGCATCGTCGCCTGTACTCTGTGCTTGACAAACCAGTGACTGATAGCATGAGTGATGACCCATGGCCCCAGTTCATGATACAACACAATCAGCCATCTGCCCAATATGCCAGTTGTTCGACAAACACTGCGGCACGACCATGGAGCTCTATCTTATCTTCCTAAAATTACTTCTTACAGGTGTCATCATGGAAGAGACAACTTAATTTTTTGCTTTGATTGTGATAATACAGCAGTATCACGACAACTCCCCACCCCCTCCCCCGCGGGCAACTACCCCTGGAAACTTTCCATCATGATAATATAAAACAACTCCAGATAAGATGCATTTGTGTAAAATACGGCATGAGTGAGTTGGGTTTACTCAGCTTTTAACAGTATTCCAGTTCTATCACGGCGTGTCAGCTTAATGTGGGTGGAAAGCCCGAAGTGATGCAGGTCTCAGACGTTTACCACTTCGATGAAACCCACGAGCACGGGTATGGTGCTGACAAACCTAGAAACATAATCGGGGCAAACCGGGATTCGAAGCCACAATCATAGGTTTCTGGCGTGCCCAAGGGATACAACTCTGCACAGCGAATCGTGGCGCCTTAGACGACTGGGCCACCCGTGCCCCTCTTGTAAAATACAGAAAATAAATCATGATTGCCCAATTAATTTTGAGCTGCTTGCTTACAAAGGCATTAATAAACAAAGCAAATGTATATCGACACTGTGTAATTACTCAGTGAATCCTTTTCAATCTGTGTACTTGTATGCATGGTATTTCTTTCCTGGGACCAGATGATGTAGAGTGTTGGTCTTACGCTGGAGTTTCAGAGATCTCTAAATCTAAGTTTGTTTGTTTGCTGTTTAACATGTTTAAGGCCGCACTCTGCAATATTCCAGCCATTTGACGTCTGTAAATAATTGAGTATGGACCAGGCAGTCCAGTGATTGACACAGAGCTCCAGATAAGCTGCGTATCTGCCTAAAATACGCATCAGCAATTGAGAAATACCCGGTAAAATAAAATCCATGCGTATCAAATACACAACAAACATTACAGATACACTACAAAAATAAAACTTGTGCATATCATCAAAATATTGTGAAGTAACCCTGCATATTCGATAAGCAAATCAGCAACTTATTTTGAAATTCCGTCAACCTTGCCAAACTCCACGATGACAGTTACATCATGATCATTTGCCATCACACTTTCTTGTGGAAGTATCGTGGTATTTTTGAGTCCTATAAAGCTCTCAAAACCCACACGACACCAGTTTGCAGGGACTAGATAAATAGTGTTTTTAAATATTTAACTTAAATACCCACATGTGTAAAACTAGTGAGTAACAGAAATTTGAATACCCAGATAGAATTACTGATACCCAATGATTTTAAAATGCATGGGTAAAATACCCACAACACCAAAAGCTTATCTAGAGCTCTGTGACATCATGTGCATTGATCTAAACAATTGGGATCTGATAACATGCATCAATGAAGACATCGTGCCTGACCACCCAATCCCATTAGTCGCCTCTTACAACAAGAAAGCGTTGCTGAAGACCTACTCCAACCCAGATCTTCACTGGGGTTGCAAATACAAAGCAAAATTATCATGAATTTGAGTAAAATATCAATCCATCTCGAGATACATAGTCTACAAAATGAATCACACTTGAAAATCATTCACCTGTTCCTCTGGAGATATAACCCATCTTCTGAGTCGCAGAGCCGTAATTACCTCCCCTGGGCTGTAGGGATCAGTGCCATCTAGTGTGTTGTCATTGACAACTGAGAAAGAAGAAACATTGTTACCATGGTTACAATATTTGGATTCATAAACAGACAAATGTTAAAGTACGCTGGTATGCATCAAATACCGACTGCTTCATGTTTCATTCACGACCTTCAAGGCGTTCAAACGAGTTCATGATGTTGTGGCTTTGCGATGTTTTGGGGTTTGGTTTGTTGTTTAACGCCGCACTCAGCAATATATGACGGCGGTCTGTAAATAATCGAGTCTAGACCAGACAATACAGTGATTGACATCATGACCATCAATCAACGCAGTTGGGATCGATGACATGCATCAACCAAGTTAGCGAGCCTGACCACCCGATCCCGTTAGTCACCTCATACAACAAGCATTGTCGCCTTTTACGGCAAGAATGGGTAGCTGATGACCTATTCTACCAGGATCTTCACAGGTCGACTTTGTGATGTATTATTATCAACCAAGTAAACAAGAATGAGAACATCCTCGTTTATCCAGTGTATCATAGCTCCATTCCATTATCATGATTATGGATCCATTCACCCCCTCGTTTGGTTTGAAGTTTGTTTGAATGACAGAACCAACAAAGTAGACATACAGTTATGATGGCAACAAGCGGTAAAATCACCAGTACTTGGCCTTTGCGTGCTAGCTTAAACAATTCCTAAATACTTAGGGTGTGCGGTATTACCACACTGGTGTATTGTGGCGCAAATCTTCAGCCATATGTATTGCGATACGTTTGTAAATGTAGCAATATATTGGGAATTATTAATAAGTATATTTGTGTGTTCCTAATACCGTATTTTCTTGAGTATAGTGCGCACTTTTTTTCGAAAAAACACAGCTGTGTAGAAGGGGGTGCGCATTATACACGAATTATGAGTTTGGATGTTTTTTCCCCCATGGAAAGACATTACCATGAACACGAAACACCAGGAATACCATGTCAACAAATCCATACTGAAGTACGCAAAATAATTATGTAATTACACTGTCTGGCTATAAAAAGTGTTCTTTGTATATCTGGACTTATGTTTGTAACTTATTTCATTGATTTTATTCAAAATTCCTTATAATCTGATAATATTGTTTTTATTAATTTCGGCGAAATTGTGTGTGAAGCGATCGGAAGATCGCACAACTCACCGTTATAAACAGCAACCACGGTCAGAATACCGCTTTTGACGCCTTGAAACAAACTTTAGTTGACAGAGAATGGATACATATATCATAAATGACATACTTTGACTCGTTAAAAGTCATATTTGTTTTTGTTTGACGATTCTATGTCAACATGAAATTATCGCTATCACGTGATCATGTGCGCGTGAGCCTTGACGGTGACTGGTCAGACATGTTCCATGTAAAAAATAATACCCGGTAGATATGGAGATGGAAAATAGTATCTTTCTGATACAACTTGTCTCTGACGATCTTTTTATTAATTAGCGTGTACATATCGCTACTATCAAGCTCCTCACAGCGATAGCCCATTCTCAGAGTTCTCTATACCGAGAGTATAACAAATGTGTCACGCGCTGATAAGGAGCTTGCTACCATGTGACTGTATTATCTCCCTTGATCGTTGCTGGGATACAGAAATGGCAGATCATTTCGACATCATCCCAAATAAAGGACACTGACTGATGGTATCTGACTTTAATACAGAGTATAACTCTATTTAACTCATGAAAATATAAATTGGCAATATATGGCAATACGTATCTCATTACAGGTTAGAGTATGGCAATATATTGCAATACAAAATCCAGGTCAATACACAGCCCTACTAAATACTACCAGCAAACTTCTGGTAGCATGCTAAGGACAGCCCTCCCCTGTCTTAGTTTGTTTGTTCGTTTGTTGTTTAACGCCGCACTCAGCAATATTCCAGCTATATGATGGCGGTCTGTAAATAATCGAGTCTGGACCAGACAATACAGTGATTGACATCATGAGCATCGATCCACGCAATAGGGATCGATGACATGTATCAACCAAGTCAGCGAGCCTGACCACCTGATCCCATTAGTCGCCTTTTACGACAAGCGTAGTCACCTTTTACGACAAGTATGGGTTGCTAAAGATCTATTTCTACCCTGGAATCTTCACGGGTCCCTGTCTTAGTACTATGAATAGTCAGGAAAGGAAAAGATCCCACTAAAAGTTCAATTATGACACTGAAACTATTCACTGATTATATTGAGAGATCGCTTCGATGTGTCCTTGATTTTGAATGTAGATCTAAGTCATTTGTTTGTTTTGTTTAACACACACTCAGCAACATTCCAGCTGTATGATGGCAATCCGTAAAACGTCAAGTCAGGACCAGATAATCCAGTTTGATCTACACAATTAGGATACGATGACATGCAATTAACCAAGACAGTAAGCCTGACCACCTGATCACGTTAGTTGCTTCTTACGACTTTCATGGTTTTGCTGAAGACCTATTCCAACCCAGATCTTCACGGGGCAGCTCTATGCTAAACTCGAGTTCAGAAGTTTCCTTCTGATTGGCTGTTCAAGAGCAAGTGGAATTCAATGCTAACAAATGGAACTGATGACATCACTTCCAAAGCGATCGCTGTGCAGAGTTGCGTCCCTTGGGCACGCCAGAAACCTATGATTGTGGGTTCGAATCCCGGTTCGCCCCGATTATGTTTCTAGGTTTGTCAGCACCATACCCGTGCTTGTGGGTTTCTCCGAAGTAACTGGATTACTGTTAAAGCGACGTTAAACCCAACTCACTCACTCACTCACTCACTCACTCACTCCAAAGCGAAGCAATGGTGTAGAATGGGTATTTATTAGGGCTGTTACGATTCCAAAAATAAACTGAAATCGTTATTCGTGGTCACTAGAATCGAATATTTACGAATAAGCAGTCATGAGGATCTACATACCCTGTACCTAAAAATATCCATAAGAACATATTATATGCAGAGATTTCTTTAAAGACAACACTCATATATATAATTTGACAGTATCTGGGTCACCGGTCATTGTGGTATTTGAGCAGATACTAGTACCTGGATAAATGCAGTACATATAAATGTGTAATATATTAATAATTATCCAACCAGGTCAAATGATTTATGTTGTACGTACTTTTACACCGAATATAATAAATTATACATCAACTGCTGACTTGTTATTGTATTCGTGAATAGATATTCGCATTTGTTACCCTACATAGTGATATGAATCATATTCGCCTCATAGTGTATTCCTTGCAGCCCTAGTATTTATTATATTGAAAATTAACACACAGGATAAACGAGGTGGTATGAGAATGATAGGGATCTGTGAAGTATAATATCTTAGGACTTAGTACAGTCAAGTCTCGTTAATCCAACACTCGTTAATCCAACACTTAGCTTTATCCGACACAAATGATGGGAACGGATTGATTCAGTGCTATTTAGTCCCATATATCCGACATTCTTGCACTCCGACTCCGACACACCTAATTTGCAACGAATTACCAAAATCACTCATTAATCAGTCTCGTTAATCCGACACAGTGGTCAGCGTACTCCGTGGTCATCTGCCCGCGAGTACACAACCCCGTGTTTTGACACGCACTGGCTGCAGAGATTAACTTAACAGTTAACAGGAAAAGCTATTCAAACCTGTATGTACAAAGCTATACAAATGTAGTTTACAAATTGAAGCCAGATAAATGTGCATGAACCCAGTTTTAAATACGAACAGGTATATAAAACATGGTCGACTCACCATGGTCGACTGGTATGTAAACAAGAAAGCATGGATGACTTCATTAATATTCAAAGCCTGGCTACTGATCTTGGATCGGCAAATGCGATTGGAGCACACCACGGGGTATTGCTGTTGGACAACGCCCCATCCCATGCTACTGTCGACACAACTAATGTGAAATGAACTGGAAAACCAATGAAGTACCATTTAAGACTTTCAGTATTGATGCAGCAAGTAAGTCTCGGACGCTGCCAGCTTCCGAGTTCCGGGACAGGAAGTTGTGCAGCCAGCAAAGCACTGTGGGACATGCCCCCCAGGACTGAAGAACGGCATTGAGGAAGCAGGTGTTGCCAAGGTTCTCGAGACCACGACAGTAATCTGAAACAGAGTGTGATGGTTGGTTTAACGCTGCTTTGATCGTTAACACATGTCGATGTGGGAGGATAGTCTGAATTGATGCAGCTCTAAGACATCTACCGATTTGAAGCTCACAAGCCCAGGTATTGGGATGACAAATGAAGAATCATCCTCGCGGCGTGTCAGCTTTATGTGGGAGGAAAGCCTGAAGTGATGCAGGTCTCAGACGTTTATCATTTCGGTGAAACCCACGAGCACGGGTATGGTGCTGACAAACCTAGAAACATAATCGGGGCGAACCGGGTCGGGTGGGTACTGATTAGGACCCGGGTACCCACAGGACTAACCGGACCTGTGGTGAGTCACGTGATATATTGTTTAATGATAAAAAATATCTGGAACTCTATGGTTACACTACAAGTTAATCATGTTCGCATTTCCTTCTGACTATGGACCCATTCCTTCTGATTTTTCATATGGTTGAATAAAGATATAACTTAATTCAACTTCAGTGTATGTATGACCAGATTGTTTAATACATGTATCTAAATATGTTTTGAAAGGGCTATGTTAAAAATGTTCCCAATCGGACATTTTGATTACCTACAGTGGGTACCCGGGTAGTAAATTTGGACCCAGCCCTACTTTGGGGTTACACATGTGCACTTTAAGACATCAATCGGTGGGTATGTTACCCAATTTCTTTGCGCCATGTTCATCCTCTGGATCAAAGTTATCTTGAATATGACAATATATTTCTGACGCAACAACATGTTAGCTGCACGTACGCCCAGAACTGATTACTGAAATAGACATGACAAATAGATTTCAAGGACAGTATCGTCATGACGAATAACGTTTCATCGAATATTCGCCGTTGACATATAAAATGAACCATACAGCTATCACATCAACAATGTGACGTTAATTTCATCAATCTAATACAAACAAAACATGTTTCTGTCACCTGGTAGCCTGGATCTAGGAACAAAACATATTTTCAAGAAAATTCACCTTTCCTCTTGGGTTTCCTTCTCTCTCCTGGACCCCAGAAAATGTAAACACTCGCTAAAACAGCGGCAGCCGCTCCGCCTATTATTGCAACTTGTTTAGAAAACATAACACAGTCAACAGTAAAGATTTACGCCTAGCAAACGGCAAAATTGAAACGTAAACAACAATCAGCCATCACACCATCGTTCCACCATTTTGGACTAGTCCAAATCGGGGTTGGCTAGGTTGCAAAATATTACATCATATCTTGTAAATCTTCAGAAAATCCGTGTTATTTAAATAAAATATCCTTTTTCACATTAATTTCACTACCCAGCGTACTTTAAACATTCCATTAACGCTTTTTCATTTGTACAACATAATAATTAGTAATCATGCGACCCCTATTCCCTGTTTGTAGTGGTAATTTCCTCTTCCAGGAAGTGCTTGTTATAAATATTGCCGATAGGGGGCGTTATTTACAGTATGGCTGTCAAAAATGACAACCGAAGAAGCTACACTCAGTCCTAAGGTAAATCGTGGTCATTCCGATGTGCCTTTACAGTAAACTTTGATCGAGATATGTTTAGTTCATGTCAACTGGGATGCCAGCCCTGGAATTAGTAGGCAGTCATTCTCTAAAGTCGACAAGAGATGAATTTCAAACGGAAAAAGGCAACTGTCAAAATCCACGAGCAGCTTAGTATTTTATAGTGTGTAATGATAATTGCCAATGAATGTGTGTTGCCGAAGTCATATAATTATTGCTGCCACGCCATGGTCTGTCTTAGTATAATCAGTGATTACATGAGTACCTATTATCTAGTATCTTCTGACTTTCAGAGTGTTACGCGTTTATGATTTCTAAGCAGTTTTTTTATGCTGACAAAACGTTATCAAGCAGAGTAAGAACTATTTTTAGATACTTTGCTTTCGTCTACATAAATTCTTACTAAATATTTATGAACAAAGAAAACAGATTGTGTATAAATGTTGGTTTCAGTCCTTATAAGTCTATTATACAGTTTTCAAAATTAAGCATGACAGTCTGGCTTGAGTCCTTGTCATAATTCTTATGTTAAAAATTTAAGATATAAGTTTAAATACTTTAAAATATAAGATTCAAATAATATCACAACATCCCCAAGGACCATATTTAACACTTGCTCTGCACCCACTCTCAGTATTTAAAATTGACATTATGACAACTTTATTATGGTTAATGGTTAAGCCTTGAAATGTGCTCAGAAGAGGTTAGTGTATACATTTTGTTAATAATCCAGTTTTCATAATACAGACAACGGCAATATCAGATGACTATGATGTCAACTGGCATGACAAACTCGGAACTGGAATAAATGGCCCTGTCAGGTGAGAAAACATGTTTTTTGATAAAATAACATTCAAACAAAGAAGTTATACTTGAATGTTGTAGAACACATCAATAACCAGTTGAAAACCTTAATTTTGTACACACATTACTTTTTCTTTATCAATTTTAAAGCGGAACTGGACAATCTGTAGCAATGCAGATCCGCACAAAGTATATTTTGGTGGACTTGTACACAAATATCGGATAATCCGTTAGATGTTATCGATGACACAATTTTCATATAGATAATCATTAATATTTCATCACATCAATGATAATTCCGATGTTTTTAGATGGCCCAGCTGTTTACAGATGGAATATTGCTAATTGCATTTGTGTTCACTCACTTTATTTGTACTACTGAACTGATATTTTTGTATCTTTTCATAATTTGCAGGTCTTGTAGGCACAAGGTATCTGGTGTGAAATATGCTCTGAAAAGTATCTTGGATTCATCAAAAGCCCGTCGTGAAGTTCACATCCATTCATTGTGTAGAAGTCATCCCAACATTGTCGGACTGCAGGATGTATATGCAAACAAAGTTCGTTTTTCTGGGGACAAAGAGTCTAAGTAAGTCAGTCAGTTCATTTTCAGCATCTGGAGGCATTTGATCTTTGTACAGCGCAAAAGTCACGCTTTGGGCTAAGTTAAGCATGTTGGCTGCAGAGAGTTGGTGGATGGGTGATCATGTGTAGGAGCTTGACTCCTGGGAGTTTCTAGTGTTTTGGTCCTAAACACATGTTACATCTATTGTGTCCTTTGGCAATTTTTTGTGTAAAATATTCCTCTGTCATGAGCAGTGACTGGGTACCAGGTAGGATAAGATGCAGTAGCTACTTCTGTTGAATCTTTTGAGGTTAATGGCTCAGCCTCTTTGTATTGACTAGCCACATCCACTACGGTTAAAGCGTATTTATACGTTTTGCGTCTTACGTTATCATTGGGAAGAAACAAGAGGTCAGCCTAATGAACTTCATTCGTTGTGAAAATATCAAACTTCTTCCTCGGGATATAACGCGGTGCTGGTAAGTATATTTGCCACATCGCTTGTTTCTTTAACCAATGCTTGGCCACATCTTAAGATACCTTAACCGCGGTGGCTAATTTTTGTATTGCTCCTATACCTTTCCAATATCCTCGTGTGCTATAGTAAATTATATCCATTATTAATTAATATGGATGTTTCTTTTAATACGTATCATGACGATCGTTGAATCGCATCAGCGTTTACACATAAAAAATTCAATCTGTAGTAGCATTATAGGTACATAAATCTGGCTCCAGTGGGGTTACAGCAGAATCACCATTACCTCCAATTGTGTCCTCTGGCAATTTGTTGTTCAAAATATTCCCCTGTCATGCAGCAGTGACTGGGTACCCAGTAGGATAAGATGCTGTTGTGTCCTTTGGCAATTTGTTGTTCAAAATATTCCTCTGTCATGAGCAGTGACTGGGTACCCGGTAGGATAAGATGCAGTTGTGTCCTTTGGCAATTTGTTGTTCAAAATATTCCTCTGTCATGAGCAGTGACTGGATACCCGGTAGGATAAGATGCTGTTGTGTCCTTTGGCAATTTGTTGTTCAAAATATTTCTCTGTCATGAGCAGTGACTGGGTACCCAGTAGGATAAGATGCTGTTGTGACAGTAAACCTTCTAGAGGCTCATAAGGTGGATTTAGCTGCGAAAGAAATCGTGTGTACACTGATCCAGTGGATAAAAATAAATGTAGTGCTGTGAGCATGCAAATTATTAATAATAATAATAATAATAATAATAGTATTATTATTATTATTATTATTATGATTGGAAATTAATGTCTACTGGTGAACACAGATGTGTAGAATTTGAAGAATTTGAGAGGCTTTTATGAAAAGTGGGAACCATGCATGTTAGAGACCATTGCAAGTAGTGTAGACAATCATCAGTGGCATGCTCCTTATTTTCAGGGCCCAGTTGCTGCTGGTGCTGGAGCTGATGGATGGAGGGGAGCTGTTTGATCGCATCATCGAGGAGCAGTGTCTCACTGAGCGAGAATGTGCTGGCTATCTCAAACAGGTAGTTACTGTCACAAAGCCAGTATTCTGCTGTCAGTCATTGCCTTATTAAACTGACTTTTTTGGGGGGTGTTCAGGACCAAAATTCAGGTTGGTAGGTCAAAATAGAATTTGTTTTTAATTTCTAATTTCCAATATTTATTTTTATTTTCTCAAAATGTTAAGCATAAAGGGAAAAACAACAGGCATTTTGAATAAATTGTTATATTGATTGCGACCGTAAATGAGTTTTTTAACATTTAACTTATTTCTGGTCGGTGGACTAAAACACCCATTGCTTTTCATTTTTCAATTCGTCCCCGAATTTATAAACCATGTTTTCATCTTACACAGTAGAATTTATTAATGATCATTTACATGTTCGGTCTTTAAACTGAGAGAAACAAATTAGAATATATGTTTCAGTGTCCTGTACATTTTGTTTAAATATTGAAAGCAGTTTTCTGATGTGTTCTGAGGTCTCTGTTACCTTCTAATGATGTTGTTATTAATAATAAAACTTAACATGCTAAGCTGTTTAAATAAATGTTTAAATAATTAATAGGAAGTTGTCATACCATCAGTGTCACACTAGCAATGTTTCCCTGTATTTTCTACAGATAGCCGAGGCTGTCTATCATTGCCATAGCCTGAACATAGCACACAGAGACCTGAAGCCAGAGAATCTACTTCTAACCAATGCTACAAAGGTTTGAGAATCTCACATCCAGAGCTCCAGATAAGCTTTTGGTTTTGTGGGTATTTTACCCATGCATTTTAAAATCATTGGGTATCAGTAATTCTATCTGGGTATTCAAATTTCTGTTACCCACTAGTTTTTACACATGTGGGTATTTAAGTTAAATATTTAAAAACTCTTCATCTAGTCCCTGCAAACTGTTGTCGTGTGGGTTCGAGAGCTTTATAGGACTCAAAAATACCGCGATACTTCCACAAGAAAGTGTGATGGCAAATGATCATGATGTAACTGTCATCGTGGAGTTTGGCAAGGTTGACGGAATGTCCATATATAATTTCAAAATAAGTTTGATTTGCTAATCGAATACGAAGGGTTACTTCACAATATTTTGATGATACGCACTAGTTTTATTTTTGTAGTGTATCTGTAATGTTCGTTGTGTATTTGATACGCTTGAATTTTATTTCACTGCATATTTCTGCATTTCTGATGCGTATTTTATGCAGATACGCAGCTTATCTGGAGCTCTGCACATCAGTCATTCAGTGTGAAACATTATCATTAATCTACTATAGCCTATGAGTGAGTGAGTATGGTTTTACCCTGCTTTTAGCAATATTTCAGCAATATCACGGCGGGGGACACCAGAAATGGGCTTCACCCATTTACCCATTTGGGGAATCGAACCCAGGCCTTCATTGTGACAGGCCAAAGCTTTATCCACAAGGCTACCCCACCTCCCCCTTTAGCCTATGAAAACTGGGAGTCATACGAATTGCTGCTTTATTATTTAGTGCACAGTTTAGAAACTCATGCACTGACTGATAGAATATTGTTGTGTCCAGCTTGACGTTCCAGTAGTATGGTTTAGGGTATGTTGGTTGAAACTGGGTCCAATAGCAACGATCAGTGCATTATTTGAAACCATGAACAATGAAAACATTTCCGTGTCAGGAAACTGTTTTAACAGTATGAGGTCTCACTGAAGATGAATTATCTCCCTTTGTCCAAGTTTTCATGGAGTTGCATTGATTGAGTGTGATTAGAATCACTGATCCAGAGTAAGTGATCTTAGAAAAGTCAAGTGTAGGTTGATGGATGATTTTAGGGAACTTCTTTTTTCGAGTACTATTTCTATGTTGATGGCCACTTTTTTATGATGTTTGGATTGATATTCAATTTTAAGATTTTGTCATATTAAACCATACAAATGCAAGCGGAGAAACATTTTTCTGCTCATTTTGAGTGCATAGTATTCGCATATTGTGTCTCCTTTCAGGAAGCCACTGTGAAGCTCTCTGACTTTGGTTTTGCCAAGTTTGATGATGGTGATCTCAAGACCCCGCACTTCACACCCTACTATGTCGCACCCCAGGTGAGGACCCCATTGATCTGAGCCTTCTCAGCAAAACAACCGCCCAGGGCTTTGTCACAGAGACTTCATCTTCCTGAGGCAAGGGAGTTAACTGTCTTTAAAAGTCCAGTTTCCACCCTTGCCGAACTAGGCTGGAATTCCTGGGCTCGATCGTAGCGCCACCAGTGGTTATTACAAGTTATGTCCCTTCTAAACCTCTACTATGAACCAATCAGATTCCACCTCTCGTATCACTGCATTTGATTTAAACAAAATGGCGGCTCCTAGTTAAGACGATCTGATCGATAATCAAGATCTCTGTTGTGATAAAACAGGTCTTACATTGCAAAGTGCATTAAATCACGGGAGCACCTTGATTAAAAACATGAAAAGGTCTGGAAAATATCTGTTTACAACAAGTTGGCGGTGCACATTCTTTGCAAATCCTGCAATCGGCCGAAATCTGCACAAGTTACAACCGGATTTCGATTTTGTTGCGCGATTTTGATTGGACTGTGCATAGACTCGTTAGTCCAGCCAAAATGTAACTCCATAATACCAGTCTAGTTTGGCAAGGGTGGAAACTGGATTTTTATAGTCAGTTAACTCTCTTGCCTTGGGAAGATGTAGAGATCTGTGTCCAGTCAGATAGTTACAATTAACAGAGAGAGGTTGGTTGGTTGTTTTACGCCGCACTCAGCAATATCCCAGCTAGAGGACGGCGGTCTGTAAATAATCGAGTCTGGGCCAGACAATCCAGTGATTGATATCATGAGCATCGATCCACGCAATTGGGATCAATGACATGCATCAAACCAAGTCAGGGAGCCTTACCACCCGATCCCGTTAGTAGCCTCTTACAAGCATAGTGGCAAGCATGGGTTGCTTAAGACCTATTCTACCCCGGATCTTCACGGGTGTAACAGAGAGGAGATACAGAGAACAGATGGAACAGGGTAGTGTAAGATAGCAGGAATTGGAAGATATGTGAGGCTTGGAAAATGTTTGCCTCTGAATGCCAATCACAATGGTAGGTTCAGAATAAGCTCCTGTTCTCTGTAGGACACACTTTGAAAGGATATTTGTTGATCTGTTAACATGATTAATGTGTTTTGAACAAATACGCACATAACACAGGATGGCTTAATTAACAGCTTGATTAATACAAAAAAACAAGGATTCTGAATGAATTCTATTGAAAGGAGGATGGATGCCTGTATCATGTGAAACCCAAACAATGAAATCATTACTGTCATGAAGTTTGTGATTAAGGGTTTGTAGCTGAATTATCTCCCTTTGTCCAGATAATCTGTGTCTGAGTGGGGTATCCATGTTAAACTGTGGCATGGTATCTCAGTTGACTAACACTATAAAACCGGCATGGAACTCACTTAATTTGCCTTTATCTTCCAGGTTTTAGAAGCACAGAATCATCTTAAAAACAAGACCAGCACACCAAAAAGTTATACATATGACAAGGTGAGTTCTTAGCATTAAGCCACTTTGAGATACAATTTAATTAAATGATTTCCTACTATTCTGATCCTCTCTCTCCCACCCACACACTATAATATGTTTGTCGTGGTTTTCTCAACTATATTATAAAAGCCAGAAACAATGCATGCATAGTCAGAAAGAAATGCAAACATAAGTGATTTTTTTTTTACCCACAGAGCTGTGACATGTGGAGTATGGGCGTCATCCTGTACATCATGCTGTGTGGCTACCCTCCCTTCTACTCCGAGACGCCCAGTCGCTCCATCACCACTGAGATGAAGAGGAAGATCCTCAATGGGGATTACGAGTTTCCTGAACAAGATTGGGAGAGGATTTCAGAGTCGGCGAAGGACATCATCCGTGGGTGAGGAAAAGAGAATAAAAAAGATTAAATTTATGTTCATAAAAATAATTATTATTCTTCTTGTGTGTTAATTTGATAATAATGTTTATAATAATAATTAATGTTTGTCATGAAAAGAGCTGTCACTGAGCGGGTGAGGTATGCTTTCACATAAAGGGACACTAACTGGGCCGAAGTATGGGCGTGTGAGGGTAAGAGGGTGGGTTGGCCAAGTCGACTGAGGCTCCACAAATCGCTGTGCAGAGTTGCATTGCTTTGGTACACCAGTCTTACTATGATCATGGGTTCGAATCCCGGTTCACCCGGTTCGCCCTGAGTATGTTTCTAGGTTTGTCAGCACCATACACGTGCTTGACGGGCTCACCGAAGTAGTAAATGTCGGAGACCCGCATCACTGTGGGCTTTCCTCCCACATCAAGCTGACATGCTGTGGTGCTGTGATTACTGGAATACTGTTAAGAGGCGTTACACCTCACTCACTCACTCACTCACTCACTCAATCAATCAATCAATCAATCAATCAATCAATCAATCAATCAATCAATCAATCAATCAATCAATCAATCAATCAATCAATCAATCAACCAACCAATCAATCAATCAACCAATCAATCAACCAATCAATCAATCACCTAAGAATGAGTATCAGACTACATCTATATGAAGAATTGAAATTAGTCCTAGATGAACAAACATGTTAGCTATATATATACTGAAAATCTTGAAATTAACGCGAGCGTGAATTAAATGCAAAAAATGTGAGTTTTTTTTGCTTGCATTAATTAGCTTTGCAATTATGTCTCCAAATGACTATCAACGCTAAGACGGCCTGCAGTCTTTGGACAGCAGAAATATTAATTTGAATATAAACACAAACACAGTTTATTGAGAAGTAGGTGTAACAAGTATATAATAATGTCATTCAAAGAAAAGGAATTACATAATAGGCACACGGTGAGTTATCACTGCTGGGGTCAAGAGTTCTACCAACTCGTGTCAAGCTTGTTGACACCTTCTCCGCATACCAATCAGTGAACTGTTGTAGGTTAAATTATTTTATTGCCTTTGAACTTCCTTAATGCCAGTCAACAGAGTAAACATATAAACTGTGTGTTGTTTTTAGGAAAACACTGTTTATTTTTCTTTTCGGAAGTGCTCTACTCAGAGCTAATAAGCGGTGCTATTTGCTGTAAAGATATATATCATTCCACTGGGCAAGGGATGGTGGGGGGGTCACATTGATACTGGCTAGGTGTCAGCAGTCGTATTAATTTGGAGACGCATTAACTTCCAGATTTACAGTACATGATAAATGGTTACTTCAGTGACTCTACACATAGGAATATTTCATGACAAGTGTCTGGCTAATGATAATCACTTGTATCATAATACACTTGCATTGAGGATTGTCAGTCAAGTTAAACCTTCCGCCCAATTTCAGCCTTCTCCATGTGGATCCCTCCCAGCGTATGACCATCTCAGACCTCCTCCATCACCCCTGGTTACATGATGCCTCGGACAATAAGCTGCACTCTCCAGCCGTCATCGCCAGCAAGGTGTGTCTCTAGCTATACGATCTTCAGACTCCCATTCAAAAAAGTGATTTCGGGGCGATCAGGTAGCCTAGTGGTTAAAGCGTTCGCTCGTCATGCTGAAGACCCGGGTTCAATTCCCGACATGGGTACAATGTGTGAAGCCCATTTCTCCTGTCCCCTGCCGTGATATTGCTGGAATATTGCTGAAAGCGGCGTAAAAAACATACTCACTCACTCACAAAGTGATTTCAGCACTGGTTTTGACGCAAGTCTGTTTTAATGAATGATAGTTCAGATGGACTTACCACTAAGATCAATTTAAGGAATGAGGTCCAGGGCCCTGTTCCTCAAAGCGATCTTACTGCTAAGGTGATCGTAAGTCCCATACTTTAACACAGGCTTACGATCATCGTAGCGCTAAGATCGCTTTGAGAAATGGTGCCCAGGATTATTAGGAGTTTCAACTGTTCTGATCTGGTTTCTTGTTCGTTTGTATGTTTGTTTGCTTTTAGTTTAACACTGAATGCTGCCAAATTTGAACTATATGATGTCAGCCTGTAAATAATCAAGTCTTGACCACACAAACCGGTGATTGGTATTATGTGCCAGGATATTCCGAAAGACAAATGATGGCAAGTAGACATGTTTGGGCACTTATGATGTTTCTGATCCCCAGGAGAGTTTTGAAGACGTTAAGATAGCCCATGCAGAGCACCTGACGAAGATGAGGATGTCAGAGAACCAGCTGACACTGAAACCACTCGTTCAAGCTGATAATCCTATCATCAGGAAGCGAAAGAGAAGGTATTGAATGACTTTCATCGTTGTTGTTGTTGCTGTTACTGTTGGTGGTGGTGGTGGTGGTGGTGGTGGTGGTGATGGTGGTGGTGCTTGCTAGGCTGGCGCTTTTGACCGCTTGCCCACTCTGCCCCAATTGTCTATGTGTAGTTTAAACCAGGTGAGGAATATACAGCGAGACCTTGTTAGAAGGGCCCTTTAGCCTCAGACACCGTTTAATGAAGCGATCTCATCTCTAAGCATGGTAAGGTGATCGTAACTTTAACATAGGTTTACGATCATCACAGGGCAATGATTGCTTTGTGAAATGGGGCCGAGATATCCCCCTCCTTGATGATCTTGCAGCTAGCATCTGCACAGCACCAACTGTACCAATGATTTCCTAATCTGGATGTTCCTTTGGAGCAAGAGTTTGGTGTATGTCTTAAAGTACAATACAAATAAGCCAAATTGTTTATGTCCTTTGTATTTATGTTTGATTTTATTTGAGAAATATATCCCTTGTCAAATGTAGTGAACGTCTGCACAGAGGGTGAAAGGTCAGTTGTATTCCCGGCCACGTCATACAAGAATATCCCTTGTCAAATGTAGTGAACGTCTGCACAGAGGGTGAAAGGTCAGTTGTATTCCCGGCCACGTCATACAAGAAGCTCGAAATTAGTATACTGTGTCTGAGTGGGGTATCAATGTTAAACTGCAGTATGGTATCTCAGTGGGCTAGCACTGTTAAACCACAATTAGGCCGGACTTGTACAAGCGGACACACACACACACATGCATGACGAATGTGTTTGTTGTATATCTAAAGTTTATTGTTGTAAATTTGTCACCAGAAATACGTCCGGGACTGACGTAGAGATGGAAGAGGAAGGGAAGCGACTCTCGGTAGACATCACAAGCAACAGCGTCAGGTGGGTGCACCAATACCCAAAACCATCTTCATCATGGTGGTCGTAAATCATCTTTTTTTTATATTATTAGAGACCTTTCCAGAAACCTCAAAAGGAAAGTTGTTCCCAGAAGAAGAAGTAGTTACACATTCTGTGTGTTGTGTGGGGCTGTTACGATTCACTCGCGTATTCGATGAATCGAACCATATACCTTCATGAATTGAATTTGTTATTCGTGGCCACTGGAATCAAATATTTATGAATATGCTATCATGTATATTTACATACCCTGTACCTAAAAATATCCATAACAACATATTATATGCATAGATTTCTTTCAATGACAACACTCTAATAATATTTAATTTGATAGTATTGTTTTCACTGGTCGTTGTCGCATTTGAGCAAACACTAGTACCTGGATAAGTGCAGTATATAAATGTGATGTTATTGTTTCACTGAATATAATAAATAATACATAAATTGCTGACTTGTTATTGTAATTGTGAATTAATATTCGTATTTGTTACCCTATATTTGTGATATGAATCGTATTCGCCTCATAGTGTATTCGTTGCAGCCCTAGTAAACAGTGTTTTTTAACTCGTCAGTTATTTATCAAAGCGAGATATGCAAAATGGAATATAAACAAGCCAGCAGTAGCGTAACTTGTGTCAGTTTGTCAAGGCCCCTAATGGTGCTGTCAACCAAAACATGAGGCTATATTTTAAGCGTCATTGTTGCAATGTATTGCTTGTTTGCTTCACACAAAAATATCACTGAAATGTTTCAACCTAAGCAATAACATGACATTTACGTATATTTTTAGTAAACTCAAGTTTTACACTGACACGATGTTTTTCCCCAATGCTGATTACCGTGAGCACGTAACACTGGAAGTAACTTGTTATTGTATTCGTGAATAAATATTCGTATTTGTTACCCTATATTCATGATACGTATCATACAGGCCTCATAGTGTATTCGTTGCAGTCCAAGTGTTGTGCTAACAGTAAAGTTTTCCATTTACAATTTTTCGTTGTTACAAGCTTCCTGATCCAGGAAATATTTGATGCTCTTACATGAGAGTAATCATCAATCATTCCCAGTTTCCCCGGCAACTGGTTTGCATAATGATTCCCTTTTGATTCTTTCTTATTTGTTTCTCCATACAAAATTTTGGGTCTTTCAGAAAATCTCCGGAGGGGTTAGGAAGTGTCAGAAAGCCAATCTTTCTTTTTGTATAGACCCCCTCCGTGGTCTTGTGGTAGAGCGTCTGCCCGGAGAGCGGAAGGTCCTGGGTACGATCCCCGACCGCGTCATACCAAAAGACGTTAAAAGATGGTACTTGTTGTTACCCTGACTGGCGCTCGGCATTAAGGGGCTCAAACAAGGACTGGTCGTCTCGGAGTCAGTATACTGTGTCTGAGTGGGGTATTCATGTTAAATGGTATCTCAGCGTGCTAGCACTATAAATCGGTATCAGTCCGGACTAGTAGAAGCAGCCACACACACACACACACACACACACACACACACGTGTGTGCACAACGCTATATAAGTGCAATAATCTTGGACGCGACGTTAAGCCCCATTTCACCTCACCTTTTTGTACATGGTCATGTAACAAGGGACTGGTAATTTATTATTGGAAGGGGAGTAGTGGGATTGGTCCTAGAACTGTATCATATTTTGCCACAGAAGTAGTATAGGATCGTCATGATACTAAACTAAATTGTAATGAAAATATTCTCTATTATTTTTACTCATACGCATACCATTATTTTGAACAAAGTGATATTCAACATTTTTACTAAGTTCTTCGTTCATTCATTCGACCAGACTATATACTCTTTTTTGAAATTGGAAAGAAACAATTGATGACCCAACAACCCCAGTTTTACGTAACATGTTTCCACCCCCAATGTAACATCTTTCAGGACACTCGACCCCACCCCCACGTAATCCCCCTATAATAAATGATCAGTCTCTCGTGCCCCTGCCCCCTCTAACAGTTGTATTGAATTTGGCATCCTCAACTTCCGAAGCCCCAGTGCCTGCACCCCCCCTCCCTCCCCCAATAAATATCAGTCCCTAAGTACAACAATTTGGAAAGTAACTTTCTGTCTGACATGATTCTGTTTGCAATGTATCTAGATATTTATACCACAGATTCTGAAATTATCTTTATGCTATCAATATTTGTATTTTTTTCTCAATAATCTTGAATATGTTTGTATTCCAGATAACACCTTGTTGAGAGGCCAACTAGAAAGTTCTTTAGAAGCTAATTAAAAGGCAGCAAGTTTAGAGACAAATTATGATGCATACTCCATAGGCACCACAGGGAAGACAGCCACTGGACCAAGACGATGTCCTGACTTGGCTGCAGTTCTCCTATGTTATAGATACTCTATAGGCACCACAGGGAAGACAGCCACTGGACCAAGACAATGTCCTGACTTGGCTGCAGTTCTCCTATGTTATAGATACTCTATAGGCACCACAGGGAAGACAGCCACTGGACCAAGACGATGTCCTGACTTGGCTGCAGTTCTCCTATGTTATAGTTATTGCATGGACCCAGGGTAGCCATACAGTATCTTCTTGTAGTGTCAGGGCCCACAAATGAGCTCCCTCGTGGGATTCCAGATTAGAAGAGGTCCTGAAGATCCATGTTAGAATTGTTCCGTAGCATCTCATGCTTGTTGTAGAGGTGACTGATGTGAACGGGGGGTCAGGCTTGCTGACTTGTTGCTGCATCATATCCCAATTGACTAGATCGATGCTCATGATGTCAGTCACTGGATTGTCTGTTCCAAACTTGATTTTTATATTTACAAAAAATCATCATATAGCTAGAATATTGCTGAGGGCGGCATTAAACAACGAACAAATATGATCTGCAAACAGTTAAGCAGCAAACAAGCAAATAAATTATCGTAGTCGGCTGCTAAGTATAGTCTCAGGCCCAGTGGGGGCGGTCGGGTAGCCGAGTGGTTAAAGCGTTCGCTCGTCACGCCGAAGACCCGGGTTCGATTCCCGACATGGGTACAATGTGTGAAGCCCATTTCTGGTGTCCCCCCGCTGTGATATTGCTGGAATATTGCTAAAAGTGGCGTAAAACCATACTCACTCACTCACTCAGGCCTGGGCCTGACTCACACAAAGTAGAGCCTGGCAGACAATATGGATTGTATTCGAGGAAATTAATACCATGATGTTACACGACACCGACTGAATGGTAGGATTATACTGTGTCATAATTGGGGGCACAGGTGGCCAAGTCGTCTAAGGCGCCGCGATTCAACAGAGTTGTGTCCCTTGGGCACGCCAGAAACCTATGATTGTGTGTTCGAATCCCGTTTCGCCCCGATTATGTTTCTAGGTTTGTCAGCACCATACCCGTGCTCGTGGGTTTCACCAAAGTGGTAAACGTCTGAGACCTGCATCACTTCGGGCTGTCCTCCCACATTAAGCTGACACGCCACGATATAACTGGAATACTGTTAAAAGCGGCGTTAAACCCAACTCACTCACTCAATCACTGTGTGATAATTTTTCTTGTTAGAAAACATGGCCTTATCATTAATATCATACAGTTATATATTCCTTAATTTCTTGTTTCGCAGTGTTAATTTCAATTGCCATCCAGCCACAAGGAATAAACTTGTGCCAAATTGCTAAAATGGCTGTTTTACTTGACATATTCAGAAGAAAGGTTTTCTCTGACAACTATTGATAATTGGCATCGTAAATTATCTTAAATCGTCTTTGATCACTGTAAATCATTGTAAATCATAGCAATTTAATTGTAAATAGGACTGTCTTTGCAGTTACTGCTTAATCTTAACAGTCATGCTTGATTTAGAACCCGAAACCTATGATCCTGGGTGCCAATCACAGTGTGTTTGCAGGTCTGTCAGCACCTTACCCATGCCCGTGGGTTTCACCAAAGTGGTATACGTCTGAGACCTGCATCACTTTGGGCTGTCCTCCAACATTAAGCTGACATGCCGCAATATAACTGGAATACTGTTCAAAGCAGTGTTAAACCCAACTCACTCACTCACACACTCACTCACTCACTCCAATACAGGTCAGATGTCAAGGAGACCTCAGGAGACCTCAGGAGACATCCGTAAGGAAGCTGTTAATGTGTGTTGGAATACCACCATCTTCCAGAGGCAAGAGAGTTAACTGACTATAAAAGTCCAGTTTCCACCCTTGCCTAACTAGGATGGTATTGTGGAGTTACATTTTGGCTGGACTAACGAGTCTATGCATAGTCCAATCAAAATCGCGCAACAAAATCAAAATCCGGTTCGTAAACCATCATGCAGATTTCGATTGATTGCAGGATTTACAAAGCATGTGCACCGCCAACTCGTCAACAGATATTTTTCAAATCTTTTCATGTTTTTAATCAAGGTGCTCGCGTGATTTGATGCACTTCGCGATGCAAGACCCGTTTTAATACAATATAGATCTTGATTATCGATCAGATCGACTTGAACTGACACGCCATTTTGTTTTAAGCAAATGCAAGTTACGAGAGGTGGAATCTGATTGGTCAACAGGAGAGGCATAGAAGGGACATAATTCGTAAAAGCCACTGGTGGCGCTACGATCGAGCCCAGGAATTCAAGCCTAGTTCAGCAAGGGTGGAAACTGGACTTTTACAGTCAGTTGACTCCCTTTGCCTCAGGAAGATGGACTACCACCAACTGAAGTGATGAAATGGTTGTTGTGGATGTTTTGTGAAGGTTTAAAATGGTGGAAGAATCATGATTGCTCTGTTAAAAAATTGACATAATCAAGTAGTCAGTGTTTGGCATCAGTAATACTCTTTAGATGGTCTGTTGTGCTGTGCATTTGGAGAATCTCAGGTTAATGTCATGTGCAAATGTATGTATTGTAATGTATACACGTGTCCATTCAGGATCTACTGTGCTGAAACACTCTGAAAATGCATTTTCCAATTTTTTAATATTTGGCAAAATTAAGTTCTGTGGATTTTGGCATGAGACAACCAAACACAACAATGTCATTTGGTCACACAGTCATCATATTTTGCTATGTGATTAAATATTGACTGCTATAATTGATTTCTTGTCCTTTGAGTTAAAATTGGAAAATGTGTTTTCTTTGTGTATAGATAGCCATTGTATGTGTGCTGTGAGATATTTTGTGCTACAATAACAATATTCAAAATCTATTGGTCATTATTTAGTTTTATATAGTTCTGCATTTGCCGTAGTCGCAATATTAAGTGCCCTGTTCCAATTAGTGAAAATTATTTAACCTAGGTATGATTTAAATAAGTCCCCCTTTGTCAATTTATTAAGAAGTAACTTTGAAATAGGAATGTTGGGATAATTGGGCATGAATTTTTCTAAACAAATACATCTGTTTCAAATATGATGCAAATGATTTCATTTTGAAAATCGGACTTCTACCAATGTCATAGCTCCTTCCAGATGAGGGGGCACGGGTGGCCCAGTCGTCTAAGGTGCCGCGATTCACTGTGCAGAGTTGCATCCCTTTGGCACGCCAGAAACCTATGATTGTGGGTTCGAATCCCGGTTCACCCCAATTATGTTTCTAGGTTTGTCAGCACGACACCTGTGCTCGTGGGTTTCACCGAAGTGGTAAACGTCTTAGACCTGCATCACTTCGGGCTTTCCTCCCACATTAAGCTGACACGCCGTGATATAACTGGAATAATGTTAAAAGTGCATAAACCCAACTCACTCACTCCTTCCAGATTAGGCAGGGGCACTGATGGCTTGTGGTGTAAGATGCCCCAATTTCTCCCTTAGCTTGCCAGTCAGAATCTGCTTGTTGTCAGTATGTATATGAGATTAGACCTGATACTGATGTTTGGTTCATCAGCATCTTGCCAATGGTTTCACCAAATGTTCACAACCTTAAAACTTCCACCCAAGTCAAAAGTGACAAGATATCATTATGACTGAAACACTGTGGAACTGTTGGGGCCAAAGTGGCATTGGTACCAACTCACTCTGTGAAGTCTCTGTGACACATGGCATTGTCATATAGCTTCCACTTTCACTCTGGTACTAGACAGGACATTTTATCTCAATGAGCAATGAATTACATACCGTATTCGACGTAATAAGCGCCCAGGGCGCTCTCAAAATTAGAAATAGGAAGCTCTTATTAGAATATAGTTTTGGTGAAAGATTCGAAAGATCGTAAATTTTATGGTTTCTGCTGACAGCCTGAAATGATACAAAAGAAAAGTCTGCGTATTATACACGACAGATACATTTTTCAAGGATTTTATAGCCCGTAATTAGGGGTGCATATAACACAAATAAATTTACACGAATTGTGTACATTGATCAGTCGGAAGAGTGCTAATTGGGTTTGCTCACTAGCCAATATATTGGCAAATATTGCCGTGGGCGCTTATTAGGGCGGGGCGCTTTTTACGTTGAATACGGTACTTTCAAACATATTGTGCACTATTAATTTTAAAAAACATTAGGGTTGAGAATGGTAATATATAAAAGTGACAAAGCCCTTTTCATATTCATCAGAAATCCCTTCTAAAAGCAGAGTCGATTGTACGATTCCGATTATATCAGTAGCATGTGTTTATGAATCACTATCAAATAGTGATGATAGAGTTGACGAAAATGTCCTGTTCCACCAGTGACACATCACAAACACATGCAAAGGAAAGTCAATTGATCACCTGAAAAAGACACAGGAACATATGGTCACGTCAAAACAGGGAATTGCATCGGACATCATTTTTGTGCATGATATAACTGGAACACAATGTTTCAGAGATTGTTTCGTCACATGAAACCTTTATGAGGATTGTAGCTACATTGTAATAGCTTTTTATGGCATGTGTTTGTACCATTATTTAGCACTGTAACTTTCAGGAAAATATGCAAAACAGAATGCATTTTGTATTGACCATACTACAAAGGATATGTTATGTTGACTTGCATAGAATTGTTATGCATAATATAATATGGATATAATATGATATGATTTACAATATTTGAGAATATTTTAATTCCTTTTTTTTTCATTTTTATCATTTTTCACGAGCATGATTTCTTTATGTTCGATTGTTTATGTTTATTGAACTTGATGTTTTCATTGTAGTAACTGTGATAGAGAGTAGTGATAGTGTTATGTTATACAAAGATCGGGAAATACTGTGTGTAATCTTATGACAGCTACTTGTACAACAGGAAGATTTTGTTTAACTGTTGTAGAAAATGCATGGCTTCAAAATACAAATATATAGACTTCACTTTTATTGTCTTTGTTATTCATCACTGGGGTATTCTGAGAAGTTGGTGTCTAGGTTTGTCAGCACTGGATGAATGCTTGTGGGTTTCCCTGAAGTCGTAAACGTCTGAGACCTGCTTCGCTTTCCTCCTACATTAAGGACCGCCTCCATGGTCTAATGGTAGAGCGTCAGCCCATAGAGCAGAAGTTCCGGGGTTCGATCCCCGGCTGCGTCATACCAAAAGACGTTAAAAGATGGTACTTGTTGTTACCCTGTCTGGCACTCCGCATTAAGGGGCTAAAACAAGGACTGGTCGGCTCGGAGTCAGTATACTGTGTCTGAGTGGGGTATTCATGTTAAACTGCGGCATGGTATCTCAGTGAGCTAGCACTATAAATCGGCATCAGTCCGGACTAGTACAAGCAGCCACACAACCACACACACGTACATGCACGTCGCTGTATAAGTGCAATAATCTTGGATGCGACGTTAAACAAAATTTTACCTCACCTCCTACACTAAGCTGACAGGTCCTGATATGACTTGAATAATGTTCAAAGCAGCACTAAACCAACTCACTCACTCACTTTAATAAGGATCCAGTGGTTATAATGTGTGACCTTGTAGACTGTGTGCCAACATAACCAGCTGGTTTGTTTGTTTGTTTGTTAGTTGTTTAACGCCACACTCAGCAATATTCAAGCTATATGACGGTGGTCTGTAAAATAATCGAGTCTGGACCAGACAATCCAGTGATTAATATCATGAGCATCGATCCACGCATTTGGGATCGATGCCATACATCAACCAAGTCAGCGAGCCTGACCACCCCATCCCGTTAGCCTTTTACGACAAGCATAGTTACCTTTTACGGCAAGCTTGGGTTGCTGAAGACCTATTCTACCCCATCTTCACGGGTCTAACCAGCTGGTGTGGATAGTTGCTCATGCTATCACTCACTGGGTTGCTTAGTCCTGATTGCTTTGTGGGGACACTGGGTTACATTACGTCCCCAACAACCTATTCTTGTATATGGATCAGGGGGTCAGGCTCAGAGACACTGCACAAAGTGTGTTCTTCTCATACCCTGATGGTGTGGATTATTGCTGATAATATCGATCA